AACCAGTCCAAGATTCGCGTGTTATTACCAAGGGTGGATGGTCTTTTGCCTTTGTGCCTCCAAATCACCTTCTGAGGAAGTTCTGCAAAAGCAGCAGCAATGTCTTCAGTGATGTCCTCTGGAAGTTTTTCCACTATAGATCCCAGTGTCATCACAATGACACCATGTTCACCTGAGCTCTGCACAAAGTCCTCTAGCTCTTTAGACAGGGGCTTGGAGGGTTTGCACTGAAATCCTGACATGTAGACAACGTTTGGCATTGTGGGTCGAGGGAACTCAAAGGTGAAATCGTTTCTCATCAGCCAGATGTCTGCTGACTGAAACAGCTCCATGTAATGTACATCACTGCCAAAATGACGATGGACAAATGGTTTGCAGTTTGGTTCTATGACGTACCAAGTATGTAAAGTTAAGAAGAAAAAGTAGAGCACATTCTTGACACGCTGAATGAAAGTCATCTTGTCAGTCAGCTCTGACCTTGGTGTAGGTATGTAAGAGAGTGGAGAAGGTGCAATTGCAAAATGGCCTTCACCCTGAATAGTCCATCGGACATTAAAGACAAGTGGAAGATGCAGACGGTGAGCCATAAAAACACCTGCACCTGTCCAAGGATCAGTCAGAACCAAATCATATTTGGCATCATGGAGGCTCTGCATCAGCTTGGTATCCTCAAACATGCATTCCACCATCTCAAGCACTTTCTTATTCATTTCATAAAACTCTTTCACTAAATCATATTCCATTGATAAACGTGTCCAAAGTGAAGCACCTTGTCGACGCATGATTAGTGTTTTCATAACAAATCCCCCAAAGCGCTCTTCATCAAATCCGGCTGAGGAATTTATAGTGATGGTCTTGTAGTGAGGGGACTCTGACTTGATGTACCAGGTGTCGTTTGGCCGCACCACTGTGACTTCATGACCTCTGGAGTGAAGCTCTGCGATGATGATATTCATGTTGATCCAGTGACTTCCATCCACAGGGAACACCAAGACTTTCCCTCCATTTACCAACAATGTAGAGCATAGCAGCACTGCAAGTGCCAGCAAGCTTGGATGGCACATCTCTGAAAGAGTCAGACAAAGATGTCAGGATGTTAGATCATCTCTTATGAGGAGATGGAGTTTGAGTTTAAGAGTTTGAATCACCCTAATAAATAAGGAGAAATACCTGAGATAAAGTTTAAGTTGAGAAAATATGGACTGGCCAATATTTAAACTTGACCACTGGATGTCAGACATATTTGCCAGCTCTGCTTTGGTTTTGGCTTAGATAAGATAAAAACGTAAATTTAAAGGTTAAGATAAAGATGTGAATGATTATCTTAAAGTCATGAGCCTCTTACTCACAGCAGTGAGCATCTCGTACAGTTGACCTCATTAGTGATAAGTTAGTGACTTTGCTGCTAAATTTTCATACCTTTTTAACATCGCAGTCACAAAAAGCAAAATAAGAAATAAGAAACTAAGGTGAAACTCTAAACACTATGAGATTGTCCTTCAAGTATGGGCTCAAAATGTGGTCATAAATATTTTGTACTTGTAAAAAAGATTTGTATGTGTAAAAAAGATTTGTGTATGTGTAAAAAAGATTTGTGTGTGTGTAAAAAAGATTTGTGCGTGCGTAAAAAAGATTTGTGTGTGTGTAAAAAAGATTTGTATGTGTAAAAAAGATTTGTATGTGTAAAAAAGATTTGTGTGCGTAAAAAAGATTTGTATGTGTAAAAAAGATTTGTGTGTG